GAGCTCACAACTTATCAGCAAGTAATCAAACTTGGAGCATCAAGAGCATCTTCGTCTGCTTCAATCATGACGTCTTCAACAAACTGAGTGTCGAGGAAATCAAACCCTCGCACCACCCAAAAGTCTAATTTACATTGGCAACTACCAAAAGTCCATCATGCTGGCACCTTCACAAAACATATCCAATCACCTATCTGCAATCATATGTATCATATGCGTCGCATACGCATCATACGCATCATGTACACCATATGCCTACAAAAACCAAAAGCATACTTCCCCAGCAGTCGCATCTCTGCGCGTCAGCATTTGCATTTGCATTTCTATTTGATATGGAACATCAATACAAAACCAAGCATTCATACATGCATAGCCAAGATCCAGGATCAATATCAAGATTTCAAGACAATCTTCCGCCCAGCCAGGGGCATCTTCTTCAAATTCATGGACGTTCTTCATGGAATTATTTCAACCTTTTGTTAACAAAGTTGTGGTCTCCAAGCGAGTCAGTGGGTGTTCCCCATTGAACTGATTATTTTCAACCTTTTTTTGATGAAGTTGTTATCCTCAGACCAATCAATGGTTTTACTCCAAACAAAATTCAACTTTTCTCTTGGGCGTTCCCCAGTGAGTTTGGTTCCTTTCAACCTTTTGTTGATAAAGATGGTGTTCTTCAGTGACTTCTTTGCGTCAACCTTTTGTTGATGTCTCAAAATAAGCCTTACTCATCATACACCCAGCAAACTTGACCCTTTGTACTACCATCCTTTTGGTGGTAGTCAAACCTTGTCAATTCAACCTGACCTTCATCCTTTTAGTGTTGGCATCTCTCAAAATCAGAAATTTTCTATCATCTTTTTGGTGGTAGTCATTCATGTCGTTTCAACATAACCTTCGTCCTTTTGGTGATGGTGGTTCTCGAAGTGGGAAATTCCTATCATCCTTTTGGTGGTAGTAACTTGTATTCTTTGATCTTACTGTCATCCTTTTGGTGTCGGTGATCTGTGAACCATGGGTCTGCGTATCATCCTTTTGGTGAATGACAACCTTTGATATCGTTTTGCTTACTATTATCCTTTTGGTAGTAGTAAGTTGTGACCTCACTTTCATCATTTTGGTGAAGGGTCATCATGTGTGTACTATCATCCTTTTGGTGATAGGTATGTCATCCTTTTGGTATCAGATATTTGCATGTGTTTACTATCATCCTTTTGGTGATAGGTATGTCCTCCTTTTAGTGTCAGATATTGTGTGTGTGTGTGTGTGTTTTATCTATCATCCTTTTGGTGATAGATTCGTCATCCTTTTGGTGTCGGAGTTGTGTGAGCTTACTATCATCCTTTTGGTGATAGACTCGTCATCCTTTTGGTGTCGGGAGTCCAGTGTGTACTTACTATTATCCTTTTAGTAATAGCGAGTTTTGACCTCACTTTCATCCTTTTGGTCAAGGATCGTTGTGTGTTCTCTATCGGTGATATATTTGTCATCCTTTTGGTGTCGGAGTTGTGTAAGTGAGTTTCTCTATCATCCTTTTGGTGATAGACCTGTCATCCTTTTAGTATCGGGAATCTGTGGGTACTTACTATTATCCTTTTGGTAGTAGTAAGTTGTGACCTCACTATCATCCTTTTGGTGAAGGGTCATTGTGTGTGTTTACTATCATCCTTTTGGTGATAAGCCCGTCACTTTTTAGTGTCGAAGTTGTGTGTGTTCTCTATCATCCTTTTGGTGATAGATTCGTCATCCTTTTGGTGTCGGAAATCTATGGGTTTGCTTATTATTATCTTTTTGATAATAATAAGTCTTAACCTCACTTTCATCCTTTTGGTGAAAGGTCGTGCGTGTGTGTTCTCTATCATTTTTTTGGTGATAGACTCGTCATCCTTTTGGTGTCAAGACTATGTGTTTACTTATTATTATCCTTTTGATAATAGTGATTTTTGACCTAATTTTCATCCTTTTGGTGAAGAGTCATTGTGTGTGTTCCCTATCATCCTTTTGGTGATAGGTCTATCATTATTTTGGTGTCGGAGTCGTCTGTGTTTTCTATCATCCTTTTGGTGGTATATCTGTCATCCTTTTGGTGTCGGAGTTGTGTGTGTTCTTTATCATCTTTTTGGTGATAGACTCGTCATCCTTTTAGTGTCAGAAATCTGTGTGTGCTTACTATTGTCCTTTTGGTAATAGCGAATTTTGACTTCATTTTCATCCTTTTGATAAAGGGTCATCGATTCGTGTGTCTTCTATCATCCTTTTGGTGATAGGTCTGCCATCCTTTTGGTGTCGAATGTCTTTGTGTGCCTATTATTATCCTTTTGATAATAGCGAGTTTTAACCTAATTTTCATCCTTTTGGTGAAGGGTCTGAGTATGTGTTTGCTTATTATTATCCTTTTGATAATAGTGAGTTTTGACCTCATTTTCATCCTTTTGGTGAAGGGTTTATGTGTGTACTTATTGTTCTCCTTTTAGTAATAGCAAGTCGAGTCGTGTGAGTTTACTATCATCCTTTTGTTGATAGGTTTGTCATTCTTTTCATGTTAGATATCTTTATGTGTGCGTTTACTATCATCTTTTTGGTGATAGGTCTGTCATCCTCTTGGTGTTAGATTTTTTCTGTTATCATCCTTTTGGTGATAACGACCTTTGCAAATTATTCAATGTCCACTCAAGGGTCGACATTGATATGTTATTCCATCTCTCAAACATCTTCTTTCTTTTCGGACAAATTCAGAGTCTTCTTCATATATAATTGACTTCTACCTCAAAAGAATGAACGCCGCAACAATTCATTTTACTAGGTTTAAGCCAATTAGATAGACGCATCTGTCGTACACCGAATTTGTCCTATCTTTTTCAAAGTTTTTCGCATTCGATTTTTTATTTTCGATTTTGCATCGCCTACATAGCATCACGTCTTTTACCATGAATAAACCATAAAAAGTGATTAGCCAAAATGAATACTCGGATATACAGGCAGACTGGTCGAATTGTTTCTCAGATATGCCAAAAATCAGTGAACAAAAGATTTTGAATTCAAGCTTGCAGGCGTCAATAATATTGACCTACTATTCGCGAAGCTTGACCAGACGTTGTATTTTTCCGAGTCATTTATTTCACGCTAACCATTTTGATGCGGTCGATTTAACCTTTCGGACATTTTTGCTGCTCGATTTTATTCATTCTTCGCCCTATCTTTTTTTTATTTTCATCAAAATATTTAGAATAATTAATTAGAATTTTTCATGCTTGCATTTTTTTATCATGTTTATTTAATAAGTTGTGAATTTTAGTGGTTTTTAATTGATTTAATTCTATTAAATTAATTAAAACTTCTACAAGAGGCAACTTTGGCTTTTTAATTTAAGTGTGGTTCTTTGATTAAATATGGATCGTTAGATTTAAATTTAATCAATGGTGCACATGTATTATCCTCACTTTTTCTCATCAGTCAATCATAATTTAGCATTTTTATTCTATTTGGTTTAATTTTCAAAAATCAGAAAAAATCATTGTTTTATTAATCTCATTGAGACACTTGCTTAAAATGTGGTGGCAATTTTTTTTAATAGTGTGTTGACACTTGTTTCTCTTGACTTTATTTCTCTTGGGATTCAGGGAGCGTCGCTCCTTCTTAGGAGGATTGCGGTTGCGCTTTTGAGTCGTTGCGGGATGAGGTCTCTCGAGTCGTGGGCGACGTCCATGTTATCGCGGCGAGGGGCTCCGAGATTCATCCTGTTGATGTCTCTGCGGAGGAGAAAGGGGGCACCTATGTCTCCGCGGGTGGGAATGTGATTGCCCCTCCTTTTTCAGCATCCCGATCTATTTGTTCTGCTTGAAAATCATTAGGTTCGTCAGGTTGATCACCGCGAACAAAGCCACCATGGTCAGATCGGCGTCGGGCAACACAGGAATTGGCTGGAAAAACAGCCGGATTGTCGAACCATTGGGCGACGTTGTTGGCCACATCGTTGGAGAAAGGAGAGGTGGTGCGCCCGTCCCTGAGGTCACCTTCTCCGACTGGGACAGTCATGTCGGGGTCATGATCGTCGTCGTTGGTGAAAGTGGTTTCGTGGAGGTTATCATCAACGTGTGGGCTGACTATGATTGATGGAGGTTGAGATGCTTTGATTCTTTGATTTTTAAGGAATAAAGAAAGGGGAAGCAGAAGTTTCCACAGACGGCGCCACTGATCTTACCAGACCAGAATGGAATCAGCAGTCAGCACACGTCGTGAGCTCCTAATTCGTCGGTGGTGGAGAAGAGGGGGGTGTACCCGCAAAGTACTCCGATGCCAAAGTAAGAAATGGAGTAAGAGGAAGCAAGTACAAAAAGGGTATTTATAATGTGCCTCCAGCGTTAGACCAACGGTTATTTTGCATTGGGTTGTATCACTAGACCCAACACGAATAACTACTAGGATCTACGTGGCGTAGGGAAGACCAGCATGTGATCTTCATCCTGGTCTAACTGCCTCGTGATCTTCGAAAGATGGGTGACCTGTTCTTTCAGACGCGGATAGTTGTCTGATGACGTGTCACTGCGTGAGGAGCACGTGAAAATCATAGAAAAGACGCGTGATCGCTTTCTGTGTGATTGTGGATTAGGTCTTCCTGAACCCTTCCCGACGAAGAGTTGAGTTAGACCATACCCGACGGTTGATCAGCGTCTAACCAAGTCCAAAACAATTTTATGAGGTGGCTGCACTATTGCACTTGTCCATACTTAATATTTTCTTTTAGAATAGTTATAAATAACTCATAGATGAATAGTATAATAGCTTGAAACCAAGTAATATATAATGAGTTGAAAAACACAACTATATAAATTCGTCTATAAATAAATAAGAGCCGAAAACAACATGCTCTCACTAATAGCTGAAAACAACATACATTGTTTTTTATGATATCAAATCAATTCAATCAATCAAACAAAACTGTAATTTCAAGTTTGCAAGTTTATAAAAACTAATGTTTACTACAAATTAAAATTTAATTAACACTAAACAAATGTAATTGCACGTAACTTATCTTTCACAAAATCCATAATAACTTCATATTCTCTAATACCCTTCCTATCAACACCATTCCTAATCAACTGAGGGAAAAACAACCAATTCCCCGTAACCGCCAAAAACGCCACCGTAATCAAACCCGACACGGCACGGTGCAACCTCCACCCACGGCGGAGAACAATCTTCTTAACCGCAACCTCAACAGAAGTACAAACACCATGAAGCACAAAAAACCACGTGACTTCCCACGTGGGATACGCACGTGCAAGATAATAATAAATAACCTCGTGCATTAAACCCGACACAACAAAAGTTGCCAGCGTGGCAATAGAAGTCGCATACATTGTGCCGACATAAGATGAAACAACGTGGCGGACGGGATTGTATACGGTAGGGCGTAGCGTACGCGTTACCGTGAGGTTCCACCTACGACCCCAGAAATCTTGAAGCGATGTTGATAAATAAGGTTCGTTGAATTGTGGTTCGATTTCGAACCCAAACACGGTTCGAACCGGTGCAGCAGAAAGTGCTAGGACGAGCTCTATACCGAGGTACATGTGGCAGCAATAGAGGATTAAAATCAAATGAGGGTGCATGTGTTCTCTATATTCATAGCAACATATGATTGCTACCAATATAACTACCTTGAAAAAAACAAGGGGCAAACCCGGTTTTTTAGGTGATAAAGTTGTTGTTGGGTTTTGTTGTGGGTGAATGGGGAGTGATGCAATGGAAATGAAATGGAAGACTGTGTTTGGGAGAGGGAAAAGAGGAGGTTGATTGAAGGAGAATAGAATGAGTTTGAAAGATGAAAGCCAAACAAGGAAGAAGATTGTGGGGCCACCAAGGTGAAAGGAAGAGAGGTTTAAAGGAAGGGTGATGAAGAGGTAGAGAATTGGAGATATAGAGAGAAACCTTAAAAAGCCTTTTGGGATTTTGGAAGATATGAAGTAACAATAACATAGACATATTGTAGATGTAAGCCATACCTTAATGAATGTCTCAATTTCACCTTCCATGTCTCTGTTTTTGTCTTCTTGAAAGAATGCTGTTATAGAATATGTGTAGTGTTTTAATAGTAGGTTCTAAACAAATGGAGTGAAGGAAGACAGTTGCATTTTTTTAGGTTAATATTGAGTTAAATATTTGTCATTTTGGGTGCCTGTCCTATGAGATCTGTACTAGGTCCAGTTTAACTAAGAAGCTACTACTAGAAAAAAATTGGGTGGTTTGAAAAACACAAATAATGTCACTTTCGAAAAAAAAAAAAAAAAAGTCAAATAATCTTGTTGCGAGCAAAATAATTTGGTTTAGTGGCAAAATTTTGATACTTTTTATGGTTTGGTAGTTGATCTTTTTTTGGTTTAGTAGTTGATATTTTAATAACTCATAATAAACTCTGTATGTGTAATTAATATATTTATCAACTTTTGATATTATTCAATTTATTTTAATTGTTCACTATATAAAAAGTCTTATTTTTTCTACACGATGTATGTACCATATTTATCCTATATTTATAGTTATTTTTCAAGGTCTTTCCGAAAATGTTTTAATCAGAACAAAAAGAATTGTTTCAATATTTTCCATTTAACAACTTCAAAAAGAATTAAATATTCTTTCTACTATACCTTTAATCATTATCAATGTTTATTTTTTAATTATTATAATATATAACTAATAAGAGGGATAAAGAGGTGAGAGTATTGTATTAAATATACAAAATTATATAAAATGACAATAGAAAAATTGTATAAGAAGATTAAAAATGACAATACTAAAAAGAAGGTTAGAGTAACGCTCATAGAAAATATAATAAAAATAGATTTAAGTCTTTAAACATATAGAAAAAAGAGGTGTTGACTCCGTTGTAAGAATAGATTAAATGATAAGTATTTAAATAATTATAAATAAAAGAATATCTAAATTAAAAGATAAATTTATTAAAGAAATTCTTGAGATTTAATCGGTAACTAAGAGTTGATTATTCCTGTAATGTGAAGATAAAGAAAATTTAAAAAGAGTATACAATGTACAAGACCCAAAAAAGAAGTGTGTATAATGTTTTACATAAAATCCATGATATTAATTGTAATTTTTAATGTATTCATCAAAATAAACTTAAAGAACTTATAATATAGAGGGAAAGTAGTCTTTTTTTTATCTTATTTACAAGAGTTAATTAGGTTATATTTGTCTTAAGTTATTCTAAAACAAAAACGGTTAGCAGCTTAATATATGTTGGATGATTGCAATAAATCTCATCGTGTATTAAATAGAGAAAAGAAGTGTTAGTCATTTATTTGTATCATTTTACAAATCAATTAAAATAAAAGTCAAATACTGTTACGTTTATATTATTTGTAGGTGACTAAAATAAAAATCAAATATTTTCAAAATATTTAACATTTATAATTAATTAAATTATTTTTATACTGTATATAGGACTGACAATGAACCAAATCAACTCGAAAATAGTTCGAAATTCGATTCGCCAATTAAATCGTTGAACTAGGTTCATGAACCAAATGAGTTGAGTATGAGCGAAAAATTAAGTTCGTTAACTAAATGAACTGAACTTAAATTATACATAGTTTGACTCGTTAGGTTCATGAGTCAACTCGATAACATATGAGAAGAATTATACTGTTTTTAATATTAGGTTTAAATATTTACTCCAAATCTTAGAGAAATTTAATCTTCAATTTAGTAGTTTTTGAATTAGACTCTCAAATGTATCTCTTGAAAGTTGTGTAGGTTTTGAATTAGTAGATTTCGAAGATAAAGTTTAATTTCAATATGATAACTTTTATTTTATTTTAATATTTTATTTTTAAAAAATATATTTATTTAAATCAAATACACTAAAAAATATATAAATTTTAAAAAATAATTTTTAAGCCCGTGAGTCATGTGAACTGAACCTAATGAGATGAACCTAACGAGTTGAACCGAACAGTTCGTGAACTTATAATGAGTCGAGTTTGAGATCAAAAAAAAGTTTGTGTCGAACTCGAACAATTTTTAACGAGTCAAAGCGAGTTAAGATGAATTCGACTCGACTCGACTCATTTCCAGTCCTGTATATCAATTAGTAAATTGTTAAATAAATACGGCTCAATCAAAATTTATTCATGACATATAAGTGTTTGAATTTTTTGTTATACTCTCCGTACTAAAATATAAGAAAAATATTTTTTTTTATCCTAAAGAAAAAAAATCAGCTTTCAACCTTTTCAAAATAAAATTAAATGCAAATTTCTCTCATCTTTTCTATACTTAACAATCAATTAGAATTGATTTTATACTTTTCAAAGCAATTTATTTCAACAAAATTTTAGTCAAATTATTATGTTTTCACTTTTCTTAATAAATATAATTTTAATTTTTTTTCTCTTTTAGACCTTTTAAAATAAAAACAAACAAACAAAAAAACTCAAGATTTATGACAAGAAACCACATAACACAGATTTAAGGTAAGATTACGTGGTGCACCATGGATTAATGATTGAAAATCTTCTTAGTCACACAATATTTGACGAAGATCTTTAAAAATAGAAGTTTGGGATTCTCTTTATTGTAAGATCAGAGATTTCTTAATTAAAGAGTGACAAAAAATATATGTGACTGTAAATTTCATCTCATTCTCAGTTGTAAGGACAGTAACTTTCAGGTACCAAACCACTGTAAAAGCATATCAATACTCAAAGATGATGCCCTAAAAAATTAGCCTCGATTTTCCATCTTTACTAAGACCCTAATTTAGTGATTCTTTTAAGCATTCACTTTTAAATTCCACGCCAACATAATAGAGAAAAACAATCTAATGGAACGCCAGATCTGTAAGCACTAGGGTCACATACAGATATTACCGAGTCAGACAAAAAGGATAAAAAATAAACCCAACCCAAAAAACGATAATTTATCAATCAGCCCCTATATTTCTCAAATCTATCAAAATACACTACCTGAAACGTTCTTCCAGCAAAATGAGGAGGCGGATTGTACCGTTGTCAATCAAACATCTCATGTACAGGACAGCATGTTCCATCATAATATCATCTATGTACATAATACTTTGGAAAACCTGGCAGCACATTTCCAGATCCAGGTTGAGGAGTACTACGTTCAGAAATGTTACTTCTATTAACTGTAGGATGCTCGGGCCCCAAAGAGTTTGTCCTAACATGGTTTAACTCATCGAGACGAGGTGCATATCGTTGCATAGCTGGTGTATTCGTCGGCATAGCTGGTGCATTCATCATGTAAGGCAATTCAGGTCTTGCACCAAGTACTGAATAAGTAGATCCCATTTGGTTATAAGCAGGACCATGGCCAGATAGATAACTACTACTCGTAGGATCGGAATTCTGAAATCCTGGATGGTGAATCTGTTGTCTTGTCTCTAATTCCCTCAGGTACCTATCATCCCCCCTGAGATGAGGTTTATATCCAAAGCTACTTATGTTGTCTTCCATATGCCTGCTACTGCTTTCCTGTAAATCGGCCAACCCATAATCAGGGAGGGAATCAGCAACATTTGGCCAACTTTGGTCATCATCACCAACAGAAGAGTGGGGCTCCAGAGGTGTATAACCATTATCACCAACATGAGCATCTGAAAGTATCATGTCTGATCCGGACTGATTTCCCTCAGAATCAAGTGGATTGGAGGTACCGTGGTCCAGTACTCCCTCAGGCATTTCATTTACACCTTGCTTTTTAGCTGGTAAGGTCACAGCTGGTCCTCTTCCATCATTTTCGTCTGATCGCTTTCTTTTCCATGAGGTGCTCTCAGCTTTAGTCACCAAATACTCATGTCTCTCTTGACTCTTTCTATCAACATTTCCATGAGACAAGCCTTGTTGCACCTGTCCAACCATAAATGAGCAATCTTCACCATTAGTTGACTTCAAGAAATCATGATCCAGCATACGATCCAGCATGGTATCATCAACGTAGTCATCATCCATAGTATGACTGGCAGATGATTTTTCCCTATCAAAGCTTTCCTTTTTCGAAACATCATGATGTCTGAACAGGTGACCATTCTCCTGGGCTATGAGCTTATGCTTATCAGTCCAGTCTGGACGGCTCCAAAGGGAGAGAGGGGGTGGCTTTACATTCCATTGCTCCAATTGCTTGTCATTAGTATCAACTGATCCAGGTAGATAAAATGACTGGGGATAAACAGGGACGGATCAGGAAAAAATTAAAGACAGAAGTCAGTACACCAAAGAGTATGTAAATCAAAAGATAACTTGGTATAATTTTACCTTGCCTGATAGAAACCTCTCATCCTCCCAGACAAGATCATATGGTGACTGTTTTTTATCCAGCCTATAAAATAAGGAAGCAAATGTGAAAACCAGGACGAATAATGAACTATCTCTCCCTGTAATTTCTGTAAATTCTGTGTATCATCAGATCACACTTGTATTTATAGTAGTGTAACAATAAACACATTGAATCTTTATGAATAATGCACTAACCTAGGAAGTTTTATAATAGTAGAAATATTAACAATTAATCTAGGAAGTTTGTAAGTAATATCTACATATTCTTAATCCTAACACTTCCAAACAAAAAAGTGACAATTATCGGGTGGCATCGGTATACTTGGATGGAGGAAAAGACCATTTAGCTCTCATCCTAGAAAAAAGGGACAAGAAAAAGAAAGCTACCTCTCTGTCTCTGGAGGTACTATAAGAATCACGAGCTTCGGCTCAAACTCTAAAGCCTTGTCTATAAACTTGTTAGCCAAAGCTGCTTTAACCCCAAAGGGGGGATTAAGACCCATGATCTGTAAAAGAAGCAGCCGATAAAAATGATGAAATCAAAAATATGCGAATTGACCATCTGGGATATTCATGCTCATCTCAACCATGCAATTGACAAACTCTTACCAACCGTGACCCTGAAGGCAACTCCTTTCGCTTGACAGTCATCCAATCTCTCATCTCAAAATTAAAATCATTCTGCAAACAAATCAAAACAACATCCTGGTAAATAGATTAAAAAAAATAACATGATAACAATAGACTAAAATCCCTAATATAGTATTCTTCATCATGCAAGAAAACTGGTTGAAATCATCAAATAAAAATCATTACGCTCATAACATAAGCAAGCCTGAAAACCATGTAATCCTTCTTACAGCCAATTAAATATTACCAAACATCACTTACATTTATACCCCCAAACAAATTCAAAGCACAACAAACCAATATTCAATCTTACAAGGTATTTTATACTCCCACCCCACCCCATACACACCAGATGCTTAGAGTTTAATCATATGCATTTACCATTTAAATTGATTCTAACTATAATCTGATGATGTAAAAAATTAATATGGATATGGAATTCCATAAAAGGACACTCACTTAGAGCCACACCTAGAAGGCGTGTCAACATGTCATGTTGCTGAACAAATTTAGCAGAGCACAAATTCTTCCTAGACAATGACTGGTTAACCAAAATTTCATCCTTACAGATATGATCATCATCTATGAAGCCCGAACACGGACACGGGACACGAAGCGGACACAGAGGACCCCGCCAATGTAAAAAACATAGGACACGGACACGGCTATATATGTTTTATATATTTATAAATAATGCAATTTATGAGTACAATTTATAAAGAGTTTAAAATGATAAGTAAAATTTATGTTTATTTGCTATTAATATATATAGTGTTAAGAATATTTGTATATAGAATAGTCTCACATCGACTATATCATGTAATTAGTTGTAGTCTATTTATATATAATAATGTCTTTGTAGTCCTTTTCAAAACACACAGTTTAACTTAAATGTCTCTTAGTCTCTCTTATTTCAACATGGTATCTAGAGCATACTAAGAGGCAATTCTTTCTTCGCCATATTTTACCCGGTTGACCTATTGTCTTCCGGTGAGAAATTTTGTTTTTTTTTGCAACCGTGTTGTCGCTCCGGTTTACCTCTCACTTTTCAAAATTCTCCGGTAACCGCCACAGCCGCCATTACTGTTCAGGCAAAACTTCCGGCGACGTTTCAAAAAACCGACCCCACCATCCAACTCGCCGTCCTCCGATTCGGTCATCGCCCTTTTCTCCGCCGCTGTCCCAGCGCGTCCGGCGGCTGATTCCGGCCGTTTTTCCGAGACAGAGTATAGGGTCATGGCAATGGCAACATGTGAACTTATTTGGTTAAAATAGTTGCTCAAGGAACTTCAAATTGAAGAAGCAAGACCAATGGCACTTATTTATGATAATCAAGCTGCATCGCCCATTGCTTCAAATCCAGTCTTCCATGAGAGGACCAAACATATTGAGATAGACTGTCACTTTGTCACGACATGCTCACAAGCTTTGTCAACTCTAGTGATCAATTGGCAGATGTGTTTACAAAATCTCTATGAAACCCAGAACTAACTATATATGTAACAAGTTTGGTGCATTTGACTTATATGCTCAAGCTTGAGGGAGAGTGTTGATATTTGTAAATATAGTGTTAAGAATATTTGTATATAGAATAGTCTCACATCAACTATATCATGTAATTAGTTGTAATCTATCTATATATAATAATGTCTCCGTATTGCTTTTCAAAACACATGGTTTAATTTAAATGTCTCTTAGTCTCTCTTATTTCAACATTTGCATTTTTTTACACAAATGTTTAATATAAACTTGGTACTTTCAATCAACGAGAAAAAAAGACATAAATCCACCAAAATAAAATGATACAGATCATATCATAGTCACTCCACATTGAGAAAATCAGCCTCTAAATCTGTCTCATTCAAAGACAAGTCAGCAACTTCAAGAAATCTATACTAAAGCTTTCGCTCGATGTGGTGTCATCTTGTTTCTCTTCAAAGAATGGATAAATGAATATGTGCTCCAATTTCTTTCACAACATAATGATGAACAAAGTTGTGCAATTAGTTTAAGATAAAAATCCTGAAAACTTGAGTTTGGTTTTTTTTTTTAATTCTGAAATTTTGAGTTGGACTGTATCCTTTATTTGAAATAAGGTGTCGTATCCGTGTCCATTGAAATTCAAAAGTTTTTTTTCGTTGGACACTTCAAAAATGTGTCAGATACGTGTCGGAGTGTGCATGGATAACTGAACCATATGAACGAACATATTTAATTGCTTTAGTTTTGATAAGCCAAAGAATTTTTCAAAAAATCTGTCAGGGAGTGTGAGCCAGTACCAAACCAGTTAGGACCTGCTTGCTTGTTAGCTCCACCTCTGATGATCATGTGTACATCTCTAAGGATGTCATCTTAAATGAGCATAGGTTCCCTTATCCTGATTTTTCTCCCACCAAACATAACAAAGTTCACATCCCTGGAACCTCATCATCATCTATTCCTTTAACTGCTCAACCTCGCCTCTCTTAACACACCTAGTTCCACTACTCTTAAATCACCCTCAACACTCTCCCCCAATACAAATCAGACACCTTCCCTTATACACCTATTCCTACCAGCCTAACTCATCCTCAACACAGACTCCTAATCCAAGCCAGCCTTAACTTCCTCTAATACATCTATTTCTACTACCTCTACCTCAACTCGTCTGATAAGTTTCACATCTCTAATCTCACCCACTGTCCCAAAAAGGCCAACATACACTGTCCCTGCCTCAGTAACAGTTAATAATAACCAATGGAGACTAGACCCAAAGCTGGGTTCATCTGCCCAACGGTTAATCCCACTCTCTTATTTGCCCATGCTGAACCCAAAGTCACTAAACAGGCCACTGTCCAGTCCTACTTGGTTAGCTGCCATAAATGTTGAGTATAGTGCACTAATCAAGAATGCCACCGTCGATTGTTCCTCTCTCTTTTGGCAAAACTCCTATTAGATGCAAGTGGATTTACAACTTGGGTTCCAAGCTAGTAAATGTGATCTCTCCCTGTTTGTTTACTCCAAGGATGCTAACTTTCTACATAAGCTAGTCTATTTTGATGATATCAACATTACTGGCAATAAGCTTATCACTACCATTGTTACCAACCCCAACTCCAATTTCTCTTTAAAGGAGTTAGGTGACCTGGATTATTTTTAGGCATGAAGTTAAACCTTAGGCTAATGGCTTCTTTCTTCTATCCCAACGGAAAAACATCAGGCATCTTCTATCTAAGACCAACAAGCAGGAAGCTAAGCCTTTTCCATCTCCCATTATAGCTGGTCTCAAACTTTACATGAAAGGTTGTGATTCCTTTGTTGACTCCACATAGTACAGGTGTGTGGTAGGTGCACTCCGATATGCCACCATCACTCGCCCTGATATATGCTTCTCAGTCAACGGGGTTTTCCAGTTCGTGTCTCCCTTTTGACTCCCATTGGCAAGTTGTCAAGTGCATCCTTCGCTACCTCAAAGGCACTACCTCACTTGACTTGCTGCACAAACCTTTCCATTCTTTTCCTGTAACTCTCCTAGCTTTTTGTGATTTTGATTGGGGGCCTGGCCCAGGTGACATAAAATCTACTTATTGTGCATGTGTCTTATTAAGGTCTAATTTGGTTAGTTAGTGGGGTAAGAAACCGCCGGTTGTCTACAAGTCAAGTCACAGTTTACAGTGGTAATGAGGAAAAAAACTGAATTACAACAAACAGAATGAAAACAGCTTGTAAGAGTATTCACCTTGGTTGGAAGTAAATCAAAGTTTTTGAAGAAGCAACTTTTCCCAGTATCTTCAAGTTTTTTCTTCATGAGTATGCTAAAATCATTAGCACCACAGCAGAAGTCCACAATCTGGTAATAAGTAACTATCCCCAGTCAGGTAAACAATATTCAAATTTAAGAGTAGATTAACAATGTTCAGGATGGTGATCCAGCAGATAGTAATAGTATATCATAATTTTATAAGGGAAAGCTGAATGAATGTTGTACGGAAATGACAGAGAAAGAAAATACACAAGGACCTGGAACATTTATAATTCTCAATCACAGAAGAAATGTAAAGACAAATTGAGGTCAACAACAGTATTTACCATATCATCATTCTGAACATACCATTGGAGTTTATCCACAATCTGCAAATATCAAAACCATTTTTTACGAAACAATTAACAGATATAATGAGACAGGCCAGACATAAAAAAAAAATTAATTATTCCAATACAACAAAAAGTTGGTCATCATGTTTGACACACTTCGAATAACTTTCCAAAGCAATAACAGACTACAGGCAGCTACATTGCCAACTGTGTTATTACGCACCTATTTCTTATGCAAATACTAGTGCTATTAAATTAAAGCTTAAAAGATGCACATGCTAGTGATTATATGAATTTAAACACCTTCGAAAAACCTTACAGCAGGTAGCTTATCTTACAAACCATTTTAAACGAATCTTGAATTGCAATAACTTTGGTCAATGACAAATAACCTGACTTCAATCAATTAACTTATTAAGATCAGATAATATCATATCCATAACTTTTTCAGTGCATAAGTTTCATCTGTATGGGTCAAAAATCATAACTTTGGTCCTGAACAAATAACCTGACTTCGATCAATTAACTTATTAAGGTCAGATAATATCATATCCATAACTTTTTCAGTGCATAAGTTTCATTTGTATGGGTCAAAAATCATAACTTTGGTCCTGAACAGCCATGTCTAAAGCTGGATTTGTACCAATCCCAATCTAATAATTAAAATTTCAGCTGCTCATCAAATTGAGTTTCACAAGACAGTAATGCTAAACTAGTTCTACTTGCCTCATCTAGAAATCTACAGTACATATTCAGAGGCTTAGCGGATTAATAATACTTTTCAAAAAAAGAGGACAGTAAAGCCATCTTCTCAACATAGCAATACCCAGTGATATAGAAAAAAGTGAACAGTTAAAATAAGGAAAAGAAATCAAGAACACATATCTGACAACAATTAAAATGATAATGTGAGAATTAAATACCCCTTCCAGCTTTTCCACTTGTGTAAAATGGCGACCAAATGAAGTGTAGCGATTGCCATATAAAACAGGGGCAAGATATACTTTCAACTTATCCTGCAGTCATTCCCTCGATAAAGTTATGATAACATAATTGAATTGTTTCTATAAGTTTAGACTTGCATTATTGTGTGAATGAAAAAAAAAAGTTGGGCTAGGTGGAACTTATGTGTGATAACCCATCAACTTTGCACCTGTCCTCCAATCCAATTTTTTGAGAACAAAGCATATAGAAGTCGACTGTCACTTTCTGAGAGATTATTATTTATTATCATTAGGATCGTCGGAACCAAAAGCTCGGGAATGCCAAAGAAGGTGTCTAGTAGACAAAGACTAGTGGGCAGACTTATATAATTATCTCACACCAGGCCAAATATTGGCTATGCAGAAAATTTAGTCAGCCAGTTTATGCATATAACCCAACGTTGAATCATTGGCAAGCTGCACCCAAAATTGTTATCTCACACCAGGCCAAATATTGCCTATGCAGTAAATTTAGTCAGCCAATTTATGCATATAACCCAACGTTGAATCATTTGCAAGCTGCACCCAAAATTGTTCAGTATCTTTAAGGAACCCCTAAAGCCTATAAAGATGCTGACTATGCAGGGTCAATTGTGGATAGATGGTCAACAACAAGGTATTGTACCCTTCTTGGAAGAAATCTTGTAACTTGGAAAAGTAAAAAAAGCAAAGTGTAGTAGCAAGGTCTAGTGCTGAGGAAGAATTTCGATCCATGGCACAAGGTATGTGTGAGCTCCTCCGGCTGAAAATCATCCTAGAAGATTTAAAGATAAAATGGGAAGAGCCAAGGAAGCTTTATTGTGAAAATAAATCAGGAATTAGCATAGCTCATAACCCAGTGCAATACGATAGAACCAAACATAATGAAGTTGACAAACACTTCATCAAAGAAAAACCTGATTGTGGCTCGATCTGCACACCACACGTGTCATCTCAAAATCAATTTGCAGATGTTCTAACTAAGGGATTCAACAGCCACAATTTTGAAAGAATCTTGTCCAAACTGGGAATGGATAAAACCTATTCGCCAGCTTGAGGTCTGGGAAATCTCACAGTATTTAAGGAACTCCTATGCTAATTAAGAAAATAAGAGGTCAACTTTAAAGGAAACAGCATAATTACTGTTTCCATGTACCTTTCAATGTTTATGATATGAGAAATAATTTACTCTTAAATATTCAAAAAAACAGCAAAGTACCTTCCACTTGAATAACCGACTCATAACATCAGGACCACAAACAGCTTCTGCATCCCGAATGCTATCTCCTTTATCCAGCATCCTTAAAGCTGTTCGAACAGCCTATATACACACAAGACAAAACATACAAACTTAAAAGAAATTCCATAATATAACACTAGCAATAAATATAGGAAGATATGCGCACCTCAACTGATCCTTCCAACTTTCCCACTGTAATAGTCTTCTCCACAACATTTTTTAGCGAGTGTGCATGAGTAGAACCAAAGTTATGTTCCTTTATGACATTCTCCATTGTAACTGATGATGAAGCCTCTTTAAACAAAGCCAACAATCTACATCAGAAGAAAGCATCTTACAAATAATGCCATATTATCAAGGACAGCTTTTGAGTTCTACACAACAATCCAATATAATTTCATTATATCAATACTTCAACCACTAGAAAGAGAACCAACAACAGTAACAGCACAAAAATAAGCAAGTCGGATAAGAAAAGACTCACCTCCTCTCTGAATCTAAGTCTAATTGGCGTGGTGCACTGCTCGGCTTTTTAGGCTTAACAGACACTGTGTTATCAGCTACATTATCGACATGGTTGTCAGAATTAATTCGCTCGGAACCCTTATGATAGAGATCATAAAGCTGCACACCCAGTGAGGCCTGATTCTCCTCATAGTTAGACCTTTCTGTTTCCTTTAAAGTTGACCTCTTATTTTCACTCAAACACCTTCTTGTTGCGTCATTTGCTTTCTTTTTAGGGATATTTGATCCAGATATCTTTCTAAAATTCTTGATATCAACTCTCTCGGAGGACATTTTACCAGACGATATAGATGATTTAGCACTTGTTCTTTTGACAAGTAAATCATCTAACTTAGCATTGTTCTTGTTCGATATAACTTCTTTGGTTGCAGGATTTATTTTCTCTTTAACACCAGGGAATTTTATATGATCTCTTATAGGAGTTCCAAGTTCATCATCTATCTCATGCTTTCTGTTTCGAGAAATGGAAAAAGAAATTACTAGATGTCAAGGTAAATTTGGAGAACAAAATACCTGCATACTATAACACTTACAAGCAATAAATAAGAATGCGATTGTTTGGCAAAAGATCTTCCCAAGCCCTAGCCGTAATGCCTTCATCCTCATCGTCTTCAAAAGCAATCTTTCTGATAAAAGCAACGTGAAAATCAGGCCCCCAGACACTATCAAATAGCATCATTATATGAATATACTAGAAACACAGGCAAAATGGGTAAAATAACCTTGGCAAACATTTGCGATGATATGACTTGGGACAACGCCTACAAACAGCAAAGTGTAACTCGTGCTCGTTCTTGTTTTCCATTTCTTTACAGATACGGCAATAATGAGCAGGACAGGTGAAAGGCTCCCCCTTGGCTATATTGCTTAAAAGTTCTGCTGGAGCATCCTTAACCACCAGTTTTAGTAACTTCCCGACGCATTCTGGATGATAAAAGAAACCGCAGGTTGCAGAAGCACATTTGAAGACCTGAAGGAGAAATTCAAAACAACTTTCATTCATATAGAAAACAAAAAAGCTATAAACAACAGCTATCCTTGAATGGATTGAAAATATTCTTGTGAGCTCTATTTGGGAGCTCAGGCGAAGTAGTGCTTGTTTGGATGCAAGGTGGGGGAAGCAAAAAATGATTTTCCTCCTAAAAAAAATTCTGGCATTTGATTATTATTTTGCAGTAAAATTTCTCCAAATCTCAGATGTGATAATAAGTAACTTATGCGTTGGGTTTGAAAATTTATACTGATTTTACATCAAACTTGTTTTTAGAGTAAAAATATCCAAACATTAATAATCACTTGACTTCAAACACAAGTTCAACCGAATCATTTTACAAAATGTAAACTCAAAATCAAATTTGGCTCACCTAAACATATACCTAAGCCCTTGATTTAGGCTTGAAAAGGAGCAGTTTCCATGATCACTCTTTTTTTTTATTAACAATCCAAGGGAGGTTGCATTCTCGTAGTAGTCTTATGTGGATGACATGGTGATAATTGGAAGACATAACATTTTAAAACTTAAGCTCCCATAGAACCAAATTTTGGACAAAGGACCTAAAGCCCATTTAGTATTTATTTACCAAGAATTCAAGTAAGCAAAAGAAAAAAAGAGCATTTTCCAGTTTTAACAGAAATGCATCCTTACAGCTACTATATACATAGGCTGCCACGAATTGGGTGGCTCTCCATACAGCTAGAAGAAAATATATATGAACCAAGTCATCAATACAGAGCAGCAAGTTATTTAGATATAATTATACCTCAGCACCAGCAAATTTATCAGAACAGCCTAGTTTGCCACATTGAAAGCACTGGTGTTGATTATATTCGCAATTCTTACAATAGAAATTTTGGATCTCCTGCGAAAAAGAAATGCACAAAAGCAATCAAATTTTCACGTAACTATACAATGAAAAATAAAATGGAAGAAGACAACCAAAAGAAATGTATAGAGAAAATAAAATTAGCTTACCTCAACTTCCTTCCGGCTAAATCCAAGGGAGGCACAAGAAGAATCTTCACCATCCTTCTTATTAGCATGAAATGACCTCATGCACTTTCCATCACAACTGCATTTATCATTTTATAACACATATTTTGAAAAAGAAAGAATCAACTACGATTCTAAAATAAAACAAAAAACATGCAATAATATGTCGAATACTCTTGAGAAATGATGCACTGTCACATAAATATACAGGAGAAAGAAACCAAATAGAATTATATTAACACACAGAAATAAAATTGTACCACAAAATATTTCCGCCGTTGTCACAAATCGAACAAACAGAATCAAATAACGCATCCTCTTCATCTGATTCTTCATCAGCAGCAGTCTCATCAATTTCATCATTGTCAATATCATCAATTATGAATCCAGGTCGTGCTAGCTCTTTAACTTCCTGGAGTCAATGAATTACGCTTTCAAAAAATATCACAAACAATATATATGACATCAATTAAAGGAAGCAAAGAAAAATATGTCCGAGAAAAATATTTTTCAAGGAAAACTAAAACTAATATCTGACAAACCTCATCGGAAAGTTTCTTAATCCTCATTGTATCCTTATCTTTCAGAACTGTGAGCAAAAGCTGTTAAAATGAATTAATCAATAATCAATAAACTGTCATTAAAGTGAGAAACAAATGTGAAATAGACAGAAAAGAAAAATTAACTAAATTAAGTTAAAAGAAATCAACACTATCAGACAGTTAAAGGGCAAGTCAACGGATAACTAAATTCTTAAAACAAAACAGAAGAGAGTAAATATATCATAATTAAAGTGAAAGCAAATGAGCAGAAAGTTTGACATACAAGGAAAAAGGGGATAGAATTGTAAGATAATTAGGAGTACAGGTCAAAGGCTGGTATTATCCTTGTATCAAGGAATTGGGCTAAGGCCCAATTCCCTTATCCTTTCCCTCCTAACTCATAACAGATATAGAAGTTTGTTACAATTCTGTTATGAGTAACAAACCTATATAATCTATTGTTGTAACAGAATTGAAAACTGAAAGCTGTTATGGATCATGTCCACTAATCTCATGGATTCTATTTCCCTTCCTGGCACGGATCATGTCCAAATTGGTACTGGTCAAGGTTTGTCTATTACATCTCTTGGCTCTATGGTGTTTCCTTCCAACTTGTGCCCTAATACCTCTCTAAAACTAAACAAACTTCTTCTAGTTCCATCCATTACTAAAAATCTGAAAGTGTAAGCCAATTTGCTGAAGATAATTCTGTCTTTTTTGAATTCCATGATAATTCTTGTTTTGTCAAATGCCAGGCTACATCTTAGGTGCTCTTGAGTGGCTCTCTTGGGAATGATGGTTTATACAAGTTTGACTGCACTCCTCAACCATCATCTCCTCGAGCCCTCAGCATTGTCAACACTTCATCAAGTCCCAAGTCTCTGTCCACAGCTTTAGATCCTAGCTATGCTTTCAATTCCACTTGTAATAATAGAGACTTAGGTTCAATTTCTAGTTTGTATCAAATATGGCATCATAAACCTGGCCATCCTTATCATGAGACCTTAAAACAGGTCCTCGAATTGTGTAATATTCCTATTCCCAATAAACAGTTTCAAGACTTTTGTAATGCTTGTATGGGAAAAGTTCATAGGTTACTCTCTACATCTTCTAATACTGTCTACACTAAACCCCTTGAATTAATTTTTTGTGACCTATATGGGGACCTTCCCCTGTCCGGTCTATCTGTGGCTACACCTATTTCCTCACATGTGTGGATGCCTACAGTAGATATATTTGGATATATCCCTTAAAATTAAAATCTGACACACTCACTACATTTGTTCAATTCAAAGCTCTAGTTGAATTGCAATGTAGCCTTAAAATCAAATCAGTCCAAACTGATGGTGGAGGTGAATTTAGACCTGCCCTCACACTCATCATCAAAACGGATCAGTTGAAAGAAAACACAGACATGTTTTAGAGACTGGTTTAACACTCCTAGCTCTAGCCAGTTTACCACTCAAATTTTGGGACCATGCCTTCCTCACAGCCACCCACCTCGTCAATAGGCTTCCTTCTCCAATACTAGGCAACACATCACCCTTTTTCTTATTCTACTTCAAATGCCCTAATTATAAATTCCTAAAGGCCTTTGGATGCTCATGTTTTCCTCACCTTAGGCCCTATAATTCAAACAAATTGGCTATGCACTCCAAGGAGTGTCTTTTCCTTGGCTACTCCCCATCTCATAAAGAGTATAAATGTCTTATGCTACTGGCAGAGTTTCTAAATCTAAAGATGTTTGGTTTAATGAATGTAGATTTCCTTATGCTACTATGTTTCCTCATTCAAAGTCCTGTGTCTGTTCCTTTCAGGTCTGTCATCTGGTCTCCCTCTACCTATCACTTATGTATATGTCCAGGTACTCCCACTCAAGTTAATAGCAGTCCTGTCCCAGTCCCTCCTCCTCCATCCTACAGTCAAACTACTTCTTTCAGGGTCAGTTCTAACCCAAGTCAGTCCTTAAACTCACCTCATAGCTATCAACCACCTCAGTCAAACATGACTCCCACCCCCTCCACAGGACCATTATCACATTCTAAGACATCTACTTTTGACTCAAATCCTATTCCTCCTCTCAGTCCCTCCCCTGTGCCACCTCACTCCTCCTCTGAGTCTCCTTCCTTGGTCCTTGAAGACACAAGTTCTCCCTCATCCTCTACTGAGGTCTCCTCACCTGTCCCTAATAACCACCTTCTCAATACTCATCCCATGCTCACTAGAGCTAAGAATGGTATTGTGCAACCTAGGCTACAACCTACTCTTCTTCTCACTCACCTTGAACCATCCTCACACATACAAGCTCTCTCCATTCCTGAATGGCATGCTGCAATGCAATCAAAATATGATGCTTTGTTGAGTAATAAGACTTGGTCTTTGGCTCCTGCTCCCTCTCACAGAAAACCTATTGGGTCAAATGGGTTTTTTCGGGTTAAAGAGAACCCTGATGGCTCTATCAACAAATACAAAGCCCGGTTGGTGGCTGAAGGGTTCCATCAGGCGAAGGATTTGACTACACAGAGGCCGAAGGGTTCCATCAAGTTTTACAAATCCTGATGTAAAACTTGTTACTGTGACAGTCTTGACCTTAGCTATATCCCAAAAATGGATTATTCAACAACTAGATGTGAATAACGCTTTCCTTAATGGGGTTCTCAATGAAGAGGTCTACTGGTTCATCCACCAGGTTTTGAGAAAGGTGAGTCAAGATTGGTGTGCAAGTTACACAAGGCCTTATATGGTCTAAAACAGGCCCTTAGGCCCTGGTTTGACAAACTCAAAGGTGCCCTTTTGCAGCTTGGCTTCTCAGCCAGCAGAGGCGTGATCCCTCCCTATTCATGCTTCTCACACCATCTTGCTATACATTGGTACTAGTCTATGTTGATGATATTATCATCATTGGGTCCTCTACATCCTTCATTCAGCAACTTGTCACCAAATTAAATATGGCCTTTTATCTTAAAGACCTTGGCCAACTGGACTATTTTTTGGGCATTGGGGTCACAGCTCCCCAATGGATCTCTCATGCTTTCTCAAGGCAAGTACATCAGGGATCTACTTCACGAGACAAACATGGCCACAGCCAAGGGTATAGCATCCCCTATGACTTCCAACACTAAACTTTCCAAAGTTGGCTCTGCACAGGTGACTGATCCTACACAATTCAGGTCTGTGGTAGGGGCACTTCAGTATGCCATAGTTACCAGACCTGAGATCTCATTTTGCTATCAACAAGGTTTGTCAATATCTCTCCACCAATCCCCTAGAGGACCACTGGAAAGCTGTTAAAAGAAACTTGAGATATCTTCAAGGAACTGTCTCTCATGGCCTTCACCTGTCACCAGCTAATCTCACTGCTCCTATTACTATTACTGGTTTTTGTGATGCAGAATAGGCCTCTGACCCGGATAAAGAAGGTCTACCTCTGAAGCCTGCATCTTCCTAGGTCCAAATCTAGTTTCTTGGTGGGCTAAAAAGCAGACACTGGTTGCTAGGTCAAGTGCTGAAGCAGAATATCAAAGTTTGGCCCTTGCTACAGCATAGATTCTCTGGCTCCAGACTTCACTGCAGGAACTGAACATCAAGCATCAGACTCCAACTGTTCTATGTGATAACTTAGGTTTCTAGCTGACAACCCTGTCCTCCACTCAAGGACCAAACATATGGAGCTAGACATATTTTTTGTCAGGGAAAAGGTGCTTAGCAAGGATCTGATTGTATATCATCTTCTTGCCTCTGACCGGTGAGCTGATGTTCTAACAATGTGGACAGGGATTACAAAAACAGTGAATGAAAGAAAATAATGGTTTGTAATACTGGATCCTAACAGAGTCTAGGCTGGTGACTCAATCTCGTGCAAAGATTTGTAACAGAAAACCTCTGCATGAACTTCATATTATTGACTTAGAAATCTTACACACCCATCAATTAATTCAAATTAAATCATGCAATCTCCATTTAATACAAATGAAATTTATAGAAGTCATTCTGATGTAGGCTATATCTCACGGTTATGGCTGAGGGTATCTTATCAAAATCAAATATACTTATGATATGAGAATGGATGATGACAGTTTTTAAAAAGTGGGGACAGAGATCATACAAAGTACAGTAAAAACATTTAACAAATTACATTTATACACAATATCTAGATTTTCAATCCCAGATAGCATTGTGTAGCGGCCGACCCGGAAAACACTGTAGTTGTATACGGCATAAGGGATGACTGATATTATATAATATTTTATATGGATTAAATAATTAATACTATAAACACATAAATGCTGATAAATTTAACAGATTACTCAAAATTCATGAAATATTCATCATTAACAATCAAAAGTGATATGACTTACGTAAAACACACTAATAAACACCAAATACAGTTAAGGAAACAAACAAGTTTAAGTTTAACCAAAACATACTGTTTGATATTATTATTCACAAATTCCACCCATTAACAACCTTAAAACTTTGTAGAGCCCCTTAATATATGCCACAAAATTTTAATTCTACTTCAAAAATGCAATCCTACGTTACCTATTCCTAAACATTTTACCATAACTCATCAATAGATGTGAATTTAAAATCTAATTCATGAAATATTCATCATTAACAACCAAAAGTGATATGACTTACGTAAAACACACTAATAAACACCAAATACAGTTAAGGAAACAAACAAGTTTAAGTTTAACCAAAACATACTATTTGATATTATTATTCACAAATTCCACCCGTTAACAGCCTTAAAACTTAGTAGAGCCTCTTAATAGATGCCACAAAATTTAAAATCTACTTCATAAATGCAATCCTACGTTACCTATTCCTAAACATTTACCATAACTCATCAATAGATGTGCGATCAAATGCTAACTTTCAAGATTACCACCACAACACATTTGAGAAGGTTAGTACCTTGGACTTTGCTAAGACAGCATCCTTTGTGGCAGCTTCGCCCATTAAAGCCATATGGTTTAACAAATCATTATGCGAAGGTTTAACTTCATAGTAACTGGAAGAAAAGTATATATTTAAAAAAAATGTCATAATATGTACTACTTGAATACTTCCATAACAATCAGGAACGAAAGAAGTCTAGAACCAAGAAAATTACCTAAAATCCTTATTCTTACTCAAGCTATCCCACACAGATTTTGCTGATGTTTCTGGATTCTTCTTCACAAAATGCATGAAGTAAACAGTGATCAAAATAGTCCTTATGGTATCCTCGTAGCTCTTCCTTGGCTTTTGAAGTTTGATCCATTTACCATCCTTCGATAGCACTGATATCTCAGGCTTGACATTGGAAAGAAGATCAAACCTCCATGCTATAACTTGCATAAAAATTTTCTTCAGCCCATTATCGGCATTACCGTGCAAAAACACCTTCTCTTTCTTCCCTTTAGGATTCTCAGACTCACTCCATTGAATCGGCAAAACAGAAAATGAAATAGGCGCATCTTTATCATCTTCGAAATGGTAATTCGACACGGACAATGGCTGTGTATCAATTTCATCATCCGAAGATGCCATTTGTTCACCCCTAAACCTAAACCTAAACCCTAACTACTCAAAACCTAAACTGCAAAAAAAAAAAACACATCATGTGTGTGAGGGAATATTATATATTATACATCAAATAAGAGAGTTAATTTTACACAAAAATGAAAGGGGATAAATGTTGATTTCACAGTTATTTATGAAGAATCGAAATTGAAAGATATAGATTGATAACATATGAGTTGAAATTCTAATAATACGTTAGAATGAAATGGTTAAGATTAACTGTTATCACCTTCTATGTTGTAAATCGCCCACTCTAGCTAGGAATCGCGGTGCGGAATAGAACTCTGCTGTGACTAATTCTACGGCGCGATTTTTGTAATGGCGGTTATCGCGATCACGTGTCGCTGTGGAATCGTATCCTTGTGCGCGCAGGAAAATCCGAAAAGGAACGGAAGTTTCGACGGTTTTTCTGGCGTTTCTGGTGGTTGGCGACAAACTCCGGTTGCGTTGATATCAGTGAAACTGCAACGTGTATCTAATACGTCATACAATTGCACCGTGAGAGTCTGCATTTTGGTTATGTATGGTTATGTTTATGTAATCGAGAAATTATTTTCAATATTTCCAGTATGTTTTTACTAGTTCAATATAAAAATTTGGAAAAAATATATATTTATTGAATATAAATATTACTTGCTCTGGAATTAAATATAAGAAAAAATGGACCAATTTTTAATAAAATGGGTAAGAATTGTCACTTTTTGACCATGTATTAGATAAACTTACCTCCAAATTAGTCTTATAACAATTTCAACCATTCATTTATTCATGTATCTTAAGATAAATTTATAATTTTTTTATTTATTTAATGTTAATTTAAGATTATATTTTGATCATTTATTTAATAAATTTTACCTTTTAGTTTTTAAAAATATCCGTCAAGATCTATGATCCGGCCTATTTAAAATTTAGCAAAATATTATTTTTAATTTTTTAACTATATCATCGGGTTCACTTGGTCCCTTAATTTTTTTTGTCACTTTGCTCCTTTAACTTTGTAAAAGATGCATATGAGTCTCTTTCTTATATTTTCCTCAAATGTCAGTTTATTTTATCTGCGTGGAAGTTGAGTTGGCAACATCCTTATTATTTAACTTCATCTGCATCTTTTCATTTGTGTATCCTTGTTTTCGCTTTCATTGTGCATCTTCTTTTTCATTTTCATTTTAGTTGTCATCTTGTTCACATCATCAACAATGTTTATCTTCGTTCACTTCATCTGCATCGTTTTCGTCTTCCTTAACATCGTGTTCCTCGTCTAGGTTTTCTTCGAATCACGAGGTCATCCCAATGTTCTTCGTTTTTGAAGCATAATAACTCTGAAAGTTGTGAATCCAGTGTATACACAAATTTGCGATAGGTACCAAAATGTCATTATGGGGATAAAGCAATGATTCGTAAGTCAACAATCAATAAGAATTATGGGGAAAATTAGGGTTGTCCAAATTTTAAGGTAAGCCCTAATTTCAGTTCGATATATGTTGAAATGTGATTATAGTGTATGTTTAAGCCATAATTTCAGTTTGATGTATATATGCAATTTTTTGGGATCCTTACAAAGAGGGTGTGGTTTTTTCAACTGGTTCCATGAGGATTTGGGAGATGAGAAGGGGCATTTTATGATGAATAGGTTGGAAAACATATCAAGAGAAATTGATGATGCAAAAAAGGCGTTCGAAAAAGTCAGTTTGACAAATGAAAAATTAGGAAAAGTTGTGATGGAACTTTAAACTCAAGTAAACAAGATCTTAAAGTAGAAAAAAACATGGAATATTATGTTTCTTAAAATCTTATGTGCATTGTTATTTAGGATAATGTTTTAGCATGCATCAGTATGAATTAGGATGTATCAGTATGACTAGAGATGTAATCTTATGTCATTATTATTTAGGATGATGTTTTAGGATATATCAGTTTGTATAACTTTGCAATATCAGTTAATATCAGTTTGCTTGGCAGCATATTGTTTCTAATAGTTCACATAACATGAATTCCTATTTTAATCTGCATAACACATAAACACATAAATTGATTTGCATAACAGATAAATTGATTTACATAACACACTGCATCATTCCAAAATGATTCTAAAATGACATTGACATGTTCACACGATGATCCCAAAATAACATTGCATAACACACTATAGAATTCCAAAATGATTCCAAAAGGTTCTAAATTGGCATTGACATGTTACATAGACATGTTCAAGATGCATTACATAATACAAAAAATACTTCAAAATGCATTAACTAGACAAAGGTTGAATAACATTATATGTTCTTTTTAGGTGTGATTCTCTTGGTTGGAGTAGATCTCATGGTTATTGGGCCAATTTCATTATTGGTTACAAATAATCTTGTTGTTGGTCCTAGGGCACAAATGGTTTTCTTATACATATCTTTTGTGTCTTGACATTTCCTTGAGTTGCACTACCTTTAGTTGGAGTTCCTTGAGTTGCACTACCTTGAGTAGTTGGCATTTTTCCTTGAGTTGAATGACTTACCTTGCAATAAGATGACTTAGTTGGTTGAGTAGATAACATTTCCCTTGAGTTGACTGACTTGCCCTGCCCTGAGATGACTTATGTAATGCCCCGATTCTGAATTTCCCATTTTTGTTGAATCTTTTAATTTATTTTAATTGAATTATTCTTTTAATTGTAAAATTTGAACATGAATATGTTATGTGTGCTTATTATGTTATTTTATTATTCGGAGAGTTTTGGGGAATTAGTTAGATGATGTTTTAGATAATCCTTGATCAGTAGATATTTGAGAGAAATAGAATAGAAAGAGTATAAGTGGAATTAGAGAGAAAAGAAATGAGATAGAAAGAAATAGAAAGGAAAGAAGAAGAAGAGAAGAGAAAGAGGAGAAAACCTAAAATCATCAAGAATCAAACTTCTAAGCTTCGATTAATCGGGTGAGGGTGTGAAACTTCATCATTCTTTCGATATATATGATTATGTATGTTTCTATTGGTTTGTTTTTGGATTGGGGAGAGTTTTGCTCATTTTCCGTTTTAGGTCGAATTTGAGTAAATCGTTAGAAACCGAGTTTTCACGGTTAAGAGTGAGAATGAATGGTAGAATTTAGTTGAGGAACGTCGGACTAAGGCTATCGAGACGAGTTGGGATTGAATCGGGTAGATTTCGATGAGTTTCAGGGTTTTGGATAGTGGAGAATTCTGAGTTCTTAGACCCTCGGTAGCACGTTCGCTAGGCAAGCGGGTCGTGAGCATTCGCTGGGCATTCGCTGTGGCGAGCCAGTAGCGAACGGTCCCAGACTTGGGCATAATGGTTTGTGGTGTTCTTCGCTGGTAGCGAAAGGGGTAGAGAGCGACTCGCTAGACCTTCGCTAAGCGAGTGTGGTAGCGAAGCAAGTCAGAGGCTTCTGTTTTGCTCTCGCGAGCTTGTTCACTAGGCGAACAGGTAGCGAGTACTCGCTGGGAGTTCGCTAGGCGAACAGGGTAGCGAGCGTAGCATGGTGTTATTTTATTGTGTTTTCACTTTCATGATTGATTCTCCGATTCAAGTGTGATTAGTTCTTCTTATTATGCATGGTTGTGTGTGTGATGTGGAATGTTGTGGGTAGCCGTATGGCGTGAATCCTAGATTATGAATCGTGAAGTGTGAAATGTGGCTGTTTGGCAATATTGTGAAATTGTTTGAATTGAACGAAATATACATGAATATATATGGTGTATATGTATGCATGTCAAGAATGTATGGAGTCTTTTTGTTTGTGAAGCATCATGTTGTATTCTTGTGTGTCTGATCCCGCGTAGGATCTGCAGAAACCTCGTGTGCCCTTATGGGGTGTGAGCGATGGTTTGTTCTTGATCCCTAGGAGGATCTGCAGAAACATCGTGTGCCCTTGTGGGGTGTGAGCGATAGTTTATTTTGATTCTATGGAGAATCTGCAGAACGATTGTGTGCCCTTGTGGGGGTGTGAGCAATCCTAAAACATCGTGTGCCCATGTGGGGTGTGAGCAATAGGTGAACATCGTAGGCCCGACGGGAAGTTACTTCGGTAACGAGCGATGGTTCCTTTGGTTCTTCAATTGAACCTGCTGAATAAGTAGGTACCGCATTTGCATTTGCATAGAGTCGTGAGTCGGTCTCTATGAGTGCATTATTATTTTCATATGATATATCGGTATGATGAACATCTGTGTATGTTTTGTGATGAATTATATATGTGTTGCGATATGTATATGATTGATTTGTGTTATATTGCGGTGAGAAATGTAGTATGTGTATTCTATGTTGGTGTACGTAGATATACATATATTCTATGCATTGTTTGTTATGATAATGTTTCTCACCCTTCTGCTGTTTTATAATACTCTATGAGGCATTACAGAGTAGGTTTGCTGGAGGCCTTTTTCGAAGCGTGGCTTCGTTCTTTTTGGTCGGTTGGCTCTGATATGTAGCACCGGGTAGTTAGGAATTTTTTTGGGTTCTTTTGTGATACATTTGTGTATGTATCTGCTGGAATGTTTTGTAACCATAACTTTTGGCTTGAATTAAACTGTTGATGTATACGATGTTTATATGAATGAAGTGATTCAATGTTTAGATGTTTCCGCTTTTATTCTAAATATTGATGTGTGGGTTTTAAGGACTAAGTTCCTTGGTGGAGATTTACCCTTTGTTGCATATCTTTATGAGCAGGTGTTGTATGTGTTTTGAATGTCCTGGATAATGTGACGTGCCTCTTTTATACCATGTGTTAATTATACTCTGATGAAAATTTTATTAAGTGCCTAAATGATTTAATTGTTTATTTGGGGGTATAGAAAGGGGGTGTTACATTAAGTGGTATTAGAGCAGTGTTGAGTCAGTTGCGTTTGTCTTGTTGTTGTGTTGGTTGAACGGTTGTTTAACCTTGTTGTTATTTTTGGGAATCATTAGAATATGGTTGGTCGTAATGACACTGCTATGGCTGCGGCATTGGAGGCTA